ACTGCACCAACAGCTGTTGTCTCCTTCTCGTTCAACTTGCACCACAACGTCTGCCCCTTCTCTCAAGAGATATTCGCGAACTCGATCTCGAACGTCTTCCAACGGAGCTCCTCTTGCTGCCACTACATGAACAACGCCTAATAACTTCCCACCACTAGGGCTAGCGCTGTGATCATCCCTCCAAAACTTTGGCGACGAATAGCCTACTACTCCTCGTTGATTCAGAATACCGCCTAAGCTGTTTCGAAGGTTGTACTCTGTATCCTCTGGAATGCTTAGCAGCAGCCGTTTTGCTGACGAATATACTAGCGGCTTGGATGAAAGAAAGATCAGAACAGCAATAAAGCATGAGGCCAACGGATCCCATCCGGCCCATCCCCATAAGCTCGTCAATAATGTCGATACGATGACCGACACGCTGCCCAGGGTATCGGCAAGGATATGCAAGTAAATGCCGTGCATATTCTCGTTGTCGTGGCCGTGGCCGTGGCTGTGGTCATGGTTATGACCATGATCATGGCTGTGAGAATGCCCGTGGTCGTGTCCATGGTCATGTCCGTGGTGATGGTGACCGAAGGCCATCATTCCAACCAGATTAACAAGAAGACCCAAAGTGCTCACAATAAAGAGCTCGCCTAATCGCTTTGTTTGAGTTCCCTCCCACAGCCGTTCAAAAGCCTCAAAGGCAATTTCGACACTGAGTAACCTACACCCAATAAGTTAATAACGGGCTTGCAGATGTGCCGAAAGTTACTTACATCAACAAGATACCGTTGGCGAACCCACTCAATGTCTCAATCTTGCCGAAGCCATAAGGAAATCTCTGGCTTCGCGGCCATTTGCTCAATACAGCAGCCAACAAGCCCACCATGAGCGCCACGCAATCAAAGAACATATGGATACTGTCGCTCAGTAGACCAAGCGAGTCTGTGACGTAGCCATAAAACGCCTGTACGGCCATGAACGAAAAGTTGAGCCTAGACGGAGATCTGAATTAACCAAACATTCCAGGTAAATCATGCGGTTTCTCTTACGCCATAAAGTAAAAAATACGCCTGGAATCCTTCTCGATCAAGATAGCATTCAAAATAGGAAATCTTGTTGTATACGGCAAAATCATCCGGGTGAATAATGATCTTTTGCCCTTGTCATCATCATGCGGATGGCCATGATCATGCCCATAATGATTGCTATGGTCATGATTATGTGAGTGGTTGTGAGAATGCGAATGGTCGTGGGAATGATCGTGATGGCCGTGGTCATGATGCTCGTGGGGAAATTCCGGAGGAGAATAAGTCATATTGGCCGATTCGGGACCTGGTGTAAGTATGCTCTTGCCTCCCGGTGTTCTCTCTTCTGTCCAGCCCTCCAATGTGTTTAATGGGGCTGGAGGGAGTTTCTCGCGGGCAATAGTTGCGCTTGAGTTGGACATGCGGGAGCGTCTGTGTCCATGCTTGTGGATGCTCGGGTTGTGGGAGTGCGCAGAATGGTTTCCGTTTCCATCCGCACAATCATGGCTAACATCGTGGTTATGGTCTTCGTCGGGTACTGATGGAAGGCTCCCGTTGGAGAAAGTCGATTGTCGTCTAAGGTTGTTCAACGACGATTGAGAATGACTTCGCGTGTGTGAATGCATATGGTTCTGATGCGCATGCGGCAGAGTGGAAGTCGGAAGGACGTATGAGGACGTCATGTTAGTTTATAGAACTCAGGATGGTTGCTCAAGTCAAGAGTTCGGTCCTGAATCAAGTTACGGAGACGACGCTCAATGAGGGCGGTGATCGGATATCGGCGCAAGTGTTTGCGATTTCAAAGAGAGTCCTTACACCTCCCCTAGGGCCAATCGCAACGTCATCAGCCGAGCGTAAAATTGAATTTGTGAAACGGGCGCGTCGCAAGCAGCTGTACGGTATCGGATACAGAAAGGCAAGAGAAACAGAGATCGCGGGACGTCTAGAATCCTTTTCAGAGTAGACGCGGGAGGCGTGAAGAGCCGTGGTGGTTGTGGCGGACTAGAGATAGGAGACTCCAGCACGTGGAGCTAAAAGTGACAACCCGAATGAGCAGCGATCGACGGGGAGCCAAGAGGATCAAGACCCAAGATGGAAACAGCTGAGAGAGGGAAAGGAAAGTTAATGACTCGATCGGTGGATTAGAGTCGAGCTATTTGATCCTGCTGAAGATTTGATCTTAGTCGGTGAAAGAGTTGCTAAGGCTGTTGGGTTCGCCAAGTCTTGATACCATTTTGAAGTCACTTGATTGTTGATCTGGGTTTGCTCCTTCCTGATCCTCTGATACATCATGGGTTGGTTGGCCCTCATGGCCTTGTCGTTTGGCCGGGGATTGCTAGGGGAGGGCCAGTTTTGACTGGCTGAGCGCTGGAAAGTTTGGCGTCCCCCCCTGCATGCGGTTACTTTTCCGCTAAGAGTTAGTGCATTTGATGCTCAAGCTCGCTTTTTAGGCCTAATGCTATCACACCCCGCAGCAGAGTTGCATCTCAACCCCTGAACTTCGTCTTGAGATAATCTCCCGTTGCCCGTCTGTATGCTTTGCATTATGTACACCCAGCCAGGAAGTATGAGCGCAAATAGGCTGGACAATTCTGGGTAAGTATTTAACAAAAACTAAGGTTAGGTGCTTTGTGACCACCTAGCACTACGATGCATAGTAGGAAATTGATCAGGTCTCAAAGGCATTGGATGTTTGCTTGCATCACCCAAGGTAGATTGCTTTGCTTGGCAGAGAGACATCAGCTATGACAATCAGCACCTTAATTGAGACGAATGTATTGCTCACTAGACTGCATATTCCCTCCATTACAGCATAAGAAATTTACCTTTGTTGTTTTGGATTGACGTTAGACGAGAGCAGTTGGTGATGGCTTTGAGAGTTTGAGAGTGGAATGATACACAAAGCCTTCGTTGTTCACCAGTGGGACACCTTTTTGCCCCATCAACTCTCCCTTACCTTATGCGTCAATATACTCTTTACTGATCTCTATGTTTGATCGTCTTCTAGGATCAGCTTCAATCGAGATCGCTTTGTTTTGCTATCTTGCCTTGTCTTTTTTACCGTCGGCACCTGTACATCCTGGCCTGTGGAACCTCGAATCCATTTTACCAGTGAGTGCAAGGTGGCCTTGGCCTTGGCCAACTCAACTCCAACAACGCCCATAGCTGGTTGCTGCGGGCACCACCAAAAGGATTCATATTAGTCTCGAAGACATGTTATGATTGCCGATTCATTCCTTTATTGACATGTCAGCCGCTTTTATTGTCTCCGTCTTTGCTGGCGCTCTCAGCTGTGTCTTCCTGGTATGGCTGATACGTGGTCTTGCGATCCTTATCCCTACTCGCTATCAGCATTCTCAGAAACCTGAAGATGATCATATTCAGATTCTTGTCGTCGGCGACGTCGGGCGCAGTCCTCGCATGCAATACCATGCTTTGAGTGTTGCCAAACATGGTCGAAATGTCGATATCGTGGGCTACAAAGGTATGGTTCCATCACCTGCATATCGCGACTTATGTGCACATCTTAACACTGGGTAGAAACTTCAAGACACCCCGATCTTATCGGCAATCCTCGCGTTACTATGTATGCACTCCCACCACAACCTGAGGTCCTTCAATGGGGGACATTGCCATTCTTTCTCAACATTCCTCTCAAGGTTTTATGGCAGTTCTGGGGTTTGTTCAGTACCTTGATGTACGATGCTCCTGCTGCAAAATGGATCATCATTCAAGTAAGTTGATATGATATCATACTCACAGTTCTTTTAGCTTCAAGGTAGCTGACAACCCCCCAAGAACCCTCCCTCGATTCCAACTTTTCATGTTGCACTCTTGGTTTCCTTTCTACGAGGCAGTAAGCTTGTAGTGGACTGGCATAATTATGGCTACACCATTCTGGCGCAAGGGAAGTGGTATGTTAAGCCATTGGTTCCTGTGTACCGTTGGTATGAAACCGGCTTCGGACGCTATCTAGGAGATATCAACCTTTCTGTCACCCATGCTATGGCCCGTCAGCTCAAAGAGAGGCCTTTCAACCTGAAGCGTTCTGTCCTCACACTTCATGACCGACCTGCCCAGGTGTTTCAACCTATTCTCTCTACTATAAAACGTCTGGCCTTTTTGTCTCGACTTGCAGAGACTAAAGACATTGCCAAGGATATTGTCGATGGAGCAGTGCGGCTCATCGTAAGTAGCACTTCCTGGACGCCAGACGAGGACTTTGGTCTGCTCCTGGATGCTCTCGTCTCCTATGCCAGTTCCGCCGAGGCCTCACCCATCCTAGCTATAATTACCGGTAAAGGTCCGCAAAAAGAACTCTATCTTGAAAAAATCAAGACACTCCAGGAGGGTGGTCAACTACCTGGCGTTCGTATCATAACAGCGTGGCTTTCCACCAGGGACTATGCTTCACTTCTTGCTTCGGCAGACCTTGGTATCTCGCTGCACAAGTCCAGCTCGGGCGTTGATCTTCCCATGAAGGTGGTGGACATGTTTGGTGCTGGTCTCCCCGTCGCAGCATACTCGGCTTTTGAGAGCTTCAGCGAGCTAGTCAAGGAAGGTCAAAATGGTTGTGGTTTCGAAACTTCATCAGAACTGGCGGAGATTCTCGCGAGACTTCTGAGCTTTTCGGGACAAGAGGAGCTGGCTCGTTTGAAGAAGGGTGCAGTTAGTGAGGGCTCTCTGAGGTGGGATCAGGAATGGGACCGCGTAGTTGGCAAAGTCATTGGGCTTGTTGGTGAAGAGAGCATTTAGATATTGCAACCCGAGAAGGAAAGCAGCAACGAAAATCCATCGTAAGGTTCCTGTGCAACAATAGGAAGGGTCACTATTTCACTAATGGCTCAACCGTGATGTAAAATACGTCCAAGGCTCCATGACACCGCCTGAACGCTGATGACCATCGCAAGGCGTTCCAACCACCTAACGCCAACCCACGTATGCTTCGCACTCCCATGATAGCCACATATATAGAGAACAGTCCGACTTCTAATCCTCTCCCAAGCTCTCCCTCACGCACTTTCTGCAGCGTCTTCGGAAATCCTTGTTCTTGCCCTCCCTCTCCTCGCGGAACATACGTGCAGCCTCCACATTGGCAGGGCTCTCGTCGTTGGGGCTGTGGAAAAGACTGATGGTGCTGAGAAGAATAGTTTCGGGTGTCTGGACAGGGCTCCAGCGTTCAGAGGCTGCTTCGTAGCCATATTCGTCTTCCTCGGGAGGATGGAGGATGGAAATGCAGAGCTTGCCGTTTTCGTAGATATTCGGGTGGAAAGGAATCGGGTCTTGAAATGTGAGTGAAGGTGGCATGTGAGGGTAACTCGACGGAAAGGATAGACGAGCCCGGAAGTTGCCTCCTAGAAGTCGAGGTCAGCGTATGTCAAAGGCCATGAGGGGGAAGCGAGGTTAGGCTCTGGCCGTACCGCCGTAGTATTTGCAGTCGTCGCTAATCATGAGCATCACCTCCCACTCAAAGATGTTGTTATCGTTTACGAGGCCGCATGAGATGCCTGGAATATCCTTGCCAGCCTGCATCTCTTTGAGTTGTCGCTTCAGCAACGAAGCTGCTGGAGCAGAACTAGCGGCCATGATGTCTTTGTGGACGAGGCGCTGATGAGGGTTCTAGCTTGATTGGTACTTGAGAGAAAAGTTGGACGGCGCCAGTAGAAGCTGGTGAGTTCGTATATGTATTGCAAGATCAGTCCGCAGATGCGTGATCCATTACTACCTAGGTAGGTACTTTACCTTATAGGATATCCTGGTAGAGGCGGATGGTGGGGGAGTCGTTGGGCTCTAGCTGGAAAACAGCCCCGCCTCACGGATCCCATGAACATAGTATGGATTCATTCGATACCTACCTAGCCTAAGGCAAAGTAAAGACGGTAGTGAAATAATGCGGCGCTCATTTCGCAACATTGGATGCTATGGTTTGCATCTATTGAGTCATGGAAGAAATGAGTCGCGCTTAGAATATGCATGCTGTTTCATATTGCTTTCACTTTTAATTCGTAAGGTAGTGTTGACTTCACCCACACCGACCTCTATTGTTGTTATATCTCCAACCATCTGTTTCATTCTTGACTGTTGTACGCCAACTGAACTTTTCATATAAAACCATGTTGAACGCGGGGTATCATTGAACGACCTAGATATCCATCACTTCTTCGACGTCCCAAATCCAGTAAAGCCCATTGCTGCCATCATATCGTCTTCGTCATGTTCGCCATCAACACGAACGTCCTCTCCATATTCCATCTTCACCCTTGCCTCCTCCTCCTTCTTGATCCTCTTTCTTTCATTATCCTCTCTTCTCTTCTTCCTCCGCTCTTCGGCTTCTTTCTCAGCCTCTTCTTCTCGCAACTGTAGTCGTTCGTGAAGGCTAGTCTGCTTCTCCTTCTCCAGGTCGTCTCGCCGTCGAATGTAGTACTCAATACGTTCGTGGACCTCCTCTGCCGTCGCGCGCTTGACTTCAGTCGTTTGTCCCGTATTTATCAAGTGCTGTGGCGTGTTGAGATGCTCAATGTATTGCTTGTTGTCTTTGAACGTAAGATCGCAAGGCTCACAGTAGAAACCAGCTCCACGGCCACGCTTTCCGACACCTGCACCTCCGGGGACAAGCTGCGTTTTTCCGATTTGTTGTGTGAGATCTATGACATTCCGGCGTGCTGATGTGTATGTTTCGTCGCCCGTTAGAGGCTTGTAGTATTTCTTGCCTGCAAGCTTGGCTTCATAACGCGCCTTGGACTCTTCTTTTTCTTTTGCCTCGCGTTCATTGGCTTTGGCAGCGTATTCATCGAGATCGTAGGTCTTTCGAAAATCGGTATCGCCTGATGGCGCGCCATCATAGGCGCCTTTCTTGGAGTCGGACATTGGGTTATATCAGTTTGTGAAGAGCAAAGCGTACAGGTTCTAGACTGATCATGGATGTTAAAAGTTGGGACGCGATCATAGTGGTAGAATTTATACCAAGTCTAGCCGAAAAAGAGACTGGCAAGAAAACAGCATCTAACATAAAACCACGCTCTTAAAATGCAATTTCGGTTCTTGCTTCTGCATTACAAGCTGTAATCCATCTCATTCATGCTCGCGCCGCATATGAAAGCTTTCCATTGGGTCTATAAGATATACTTATTAGCCTTGGACTTGCTCGAAACCGCAACATCGTCCCGGTGTGAAACCTGGCCCGACCCCGTGCGAATTATTCCGGGCCAGACGGGAAATGCTTTAGAGCGACAGGGGTACTTGGCATGAGGTCACAGCAAACCTTAGAAAGCGCTAAAACTACCCCGCCGCGGGGCATCTCTTTTTTTGAGTCGCGACCCAGGGACAATTTTTCACCACGAAATACTACTGCAATAAATCAGACGTAGAAGGATCGCAATGTTGTACCTCGTAGGACTTGGTCTCTCTGACGAGACAGACATTACTGTCAAGGGTCTTGAGGTCGTCAAGAAAGCCTCCAGGGTCTATCTGGAGGCTTATACTAGCATTTTGCTTGTCGAGCAATCTGTCTTGGTACATGCAACCATCCCCTAAACCCAAGAGCCAATGCTGATTATGCTAGGAATCGTACTATGGACGATCCATCACTGTAGCTGACCGTGAGATGGTCGAGTCAAACAGCGACGAGATCCTCCGAAATGCGCAGAACGAAGATGTTGCGTTCCTTGTTGTTGGAGATCCCTTCGGGTACGATCTAGTGATCCAACTTGCAGCTGTATACTGATACCTTGCAGTGCTACTACTCATACGGATCTTGTTCTTCGTGCTCGGGAACTCGAAATCCCTGTCCGAACCGTTCCCAACGCCTCCATCATGTCCGGGATTGGCGCATGCGGTCTCCAGCTCTACAACTTTGGACAAACCGTGTCCATGGTTTTCTTCACTGATACATGGAAGCCGGCATCTTTCTACGATCGGATAAAGGAGAATCGTCAAATCGGTTTACACACGCTAGTCTTGGTCGATATCAAGGTTAAGGAGCAGAGTCTCGAGAACATGGCCCGAGGTCGACTGGTCTACGAGCCTCCTCGCTACATGACTGTCGGCCAGTGTGCACAACAGATGCTAGAGATTGAAGATGAGCGTAAGGAGGGTGTCTATACCAAGGACAGTCTGGCCATTGGCGCTGCTCGCGTCGGAGGCAAGACGGAGAAGTTCGTGGCTGGTACTTTGGAGGAGCTTTGCTCTACGGACGAGGAGCTGGGGCCTCCTCTTCACAGTCTCGTCCTCCTTGGCCGAAGAACACACGAGCTGGAGCTCGACTACGTCCGGCAGTTTGCGGTTGACAAGGAGAAGTGGGATAGGCTATGGAAAGCTGAGTACGGAAAGCAGCTGTGAATGGTTGCTAATATCGTCATGAATTCGTATCGCCTTTGATAAAAGTCCTATCGTACAAGCGAGATTTGCATTATTCAGAACATTACTCTCGCGAAGCGCGCCAAGATCGCACGTCCCCTTCCGAAATCTCCCTCAATGTGTTGGGCGAAGCAGGCTTGCCAGTGACGGCGCTGGAAGCAATGTCGGCAGCGCGGCTCAGCAGATTCTTCGAAACGAGAGAATAGGTGACCGATACTGTCTTGACCCGGATGATTCCAATACGAGGATCATTCTCAGAACCATCATGGACACCGTCACCAAGATCACCAAGCCAAGCCTTGAGTGTAGGGCTGTAGTGCTTGGAAACAAGACTTCGATCTGTGCTAATACTAGCATTGCCAGCAATGGAAGCCCACTCTCCGGAGGCGTTGATGAAAGAAACGTTGACGTGAGGGTCAGCATCGAGGTCGTCGGTCTTGCCAGACTCCGTGTTGGTGTGGAAGAGAAGGTCAATGCCTCCAGTCTCCTACAATAGGGTCAGATAGAGTTTCAATCCCAATGAAGAACACACTTACTGTGGCAGCCAGTGCCATGCAGCGAGATACAAGGTTACCAGAGCCTGAGCCACGGGTGGTCATCATGCCAAACTTCTCCTTGGTAATGAAGTGGACGAGATCCTCAATCTTGGTCTGTAGGGGAACCTCCTCGGCGTTTGCCTTCTTGTAAGGATCGGCGGGGGCATCGCCAGTGTTTGCGTTAGAGAAAGACATCTTGCTTGGTTTGGTATGTGGTGGGAGTGTTTTGGGTTGTAGATGTTGATGTTTGAAGATAAGATCTGAGCTCAAGCACAAAAGTTGAAGCTTCTCCAGCAGATTTATATACCTCCTCCCAAACAAACTATTGCTTACACATCATAAGGTAGCATGCAAGCCATCATGGCACAATCGTATGCATTTCATCATCGATGTTCAGTTGACATGTAGGGCAATCGCAGCGGGGTGTTTGAGATCGAACAATAATAATGGTGACGTCAGCGTCCATGATGGGCTCCTGCACGGAGGCATGAAGCTGTTGTGTCAACAAGCCTCGCGTCATTCTACCAATCAAGGGCTCCATTGGATTTCGGTAGTATGATTTGGGGACTGGGCACAATGCTTATGTCTCAGTCACACTGGGCTTCTATTACTTCTATTTCACCCTCCTCCTTGAGAATGGGAGCCAGCACCTCATGGCCAGCCCTGGCCCAAGTAACCCATCTTTAACTCAAGGCTATTGAGATCTACTTTAGTACTTTAGGTATCTGAGTACCGAGGAGCCAAAGGAAACGAGTCTTTCCGTTGTGCTATCTTCCGTTCAATGCAGGCTGGTCAATACCGTTATGCAAAGACCCGCTCCGCTCAATACCTACACAATGCTTGTTTACGGGAGCTTGCGTTGGATTGAATATGGTTTTGCTTATTCGTAGGAAACCCTTGCCTGTGTGAGCCCTTGACTTACTGGACATGATTGTATCTGAATCATTGCGAGATCCTGAATAATACTAGGGATATCTTCGGAGAGGACGCGAGGGATAATGTGACCAATGAAACTCAAGTTGTCTCTTGGTATTCATAACATAACTGCAGTCGAATAACGATCGCTCTACCCTAGCACGATCTTCGTCAAGGAATAGCATAGCAACTCTTGTGCTACACAGCTCAAAATAGGTATATAGACAGGATATGCTATCTGTTTGTTGAAGACTTCTGATAGGAAGCTCGAATGGGGGCTTTGCTCTATCTGCAGCTACATTTCCTGTTATGGAACCCGTTCAGCTTAATGTCAGTCGAGTGAGCGGTTTACACCACTGAAAGATTGGGATATTACTACTTTGTCGCAGTGATTTCCTAGGCAATTCCCATTGACAGGTAAACGTTCGATGACGCCAGAAGATATTGTCATTGCCTTGAGATTCCCGGATGTTTTGTCTCCGTCTGCCTTACCAGTAGTACCTACCTTAGTAGTAATAGACTCCCTCTGTGGACCTTCGGAGATCTCGATCGCATGGGCTGCCACTTTTGGGGAATTTCAGTCGGCGAGCGGCAGAGACAGGTGCGACGGGTAGCACTCGCCCGGCGGTCCTTGCCTTATTAATTGTGTTGCAAGTGGTGCCTTCCTTAACCCGAGCCTATAACGTCACACAAGAAACAGCAGACTTTAGGACGGGAACTCCACTCCACCTGGCTTAAGCAACCTCAGGTAAGAACATGCCGACCAGCGACTTCCATCTC